CGGGGTGGGGAGGGGAGGGGGATTAGTCTGGTTTGATCATTCTAGAGACTAGGATTTTCTGGGTTTCTGTTTTGTTTTTTTTTTTGTTTCGTTTCGTTTTCCTTGTCGAATCGCAGGTGAGATACAGTCGGCTTGCTCAGATTAGGAGGGCGAGACACTCGCCTCTTCCGGGCCTCTCGCAAACTCCAGAGAGGCTGAGGCCGAGGTCTCCGCCAAGGCTTAGGGACTCCAGCCATAATCTACTTTATTCTTTAGTATTTATAGAAGCAGGAATCTCTGACTACTTCTAGTTCTTTGTATGGAGTCCAGCATAACAGTGAGAAGGATTTCCTGGCAGTTTGGGGTGCGGCCTTTGTCAATGTGGGGATCGGTCTGTTTTTTAGTTGGGGTGGGAGTGGGGGGTATTGCACTGTCCTTAGCTTGGAATAAATTGCGGAAAGGCACACGTCAGGAAGGGAGAGAGGCCTGCCAAAACCATGGCGGTGGTGGGCTGGGGGGCAATTCGTGTTAGGACTTGAAGGCATCAAGGCAGCTCTTTTAGCTTTCTTGAAACATTGAAGAAGCCATGAGCGGTTGTAAAATCTTTCAGGGAAGGGAGCGGGGTGGGGAAAATAACCTAATGCCTTTAATATACGCATTAAAATGTACCCAGGGTTTGTTTGTTTTTTTCCCCCCTTTTCCTAATTGTATGGGTGGAGTCAGGAGCGATTGAAAGATTAACACTGAGATGATTGTGGTGAGTTCGTAGAGGAGGAATGAGAAGAGCTTTGCTAAGTCTATTTCCTTTCTTGTTTGGTTTCCCCTATCACTTTGAGTCATGCCTTAACTACATATACACTTTATGTGATCAGGGTCTATTGACAGAAGAAACTTGTGCAAGAGCAGCTGAGTAGAGGCTGGGTTGGGGTTTTGTCTCGCGATCGATAGTGTTGGCAGGAGATTGCAGAGGGTGAGCCAGCAGTGGCTGGAGGACAGAGTTGCATGGAGAAGCAGGGGAAGGCCAGGCCTTCAGTGAGCACACAAGGAGCTTGAAGGTGGATTGGAGAGGGCATGCAGGGGGCTGGGCACCAGCCGCTCAGGCCTCACAGCACAGATCTTGTTGTTGAGTTGCTGTAAACCTGCTATTTCCCTCGATAGCTGTGTTTCTCATTAGCCTAATTAGCCTAGATTGTGGCAAGGAACATGGATCTTTCCTGCTGCATTGGGTCTCCCTTTCTAGGAATTCCTTGAAAAGAACTGACGCACTTGATCTCCACGGGACTGCAGTGGTCTCTGCAGCCTTGCGGCTGATTCATGCCGGTCTAGGAAAACAGCCTGAAGCAGGCGAGTGACTGTAACCAGAAGCTTAGCGGCTGCAAGAGGACGGATGGGGAGGTGTGTGAGCACAGGGCTACTCGCACGCACTAGGCGCAGAAGCTTGGTCTGTGCCCTTTTAGGGGGCGGTTTGCCTGTTTGGATAGGGGCCCACATCGAGGCACTGTCCAAGCCAAGTACTGTACATAGTACAAGGTGGGTTCTTCAGAGGAATCCTCCATTGGGTAACTAATGCCTAAGAGGCAGTGGAAGAGAAACAACCTGGGGTGGGAGGGGAGGGTGGGGAAGGGGCTGTCATCTCTTTACTGGGGTAGTTCATCTTAGTTGCCGCATCAGCGCCTTTCATGGTTTGTTCCAGGCCGCCCAATGCCGCAGACTGCAGCTCAGCGGGCCTCCAAACCCACAGACCTCCTCGCTCCCAGTTCACAACCATTACTGCCAGCCCCTGTGGCTGGCTTTCTAGCCCCTAGATTTACCTCCACATTTGGAAGCAAACACAGCGAGGGTGTTGGAGGGGAGGAAGGGATGGGAAGGGTGTTGTGGGTTTGAGAAGACCCCCTTCCCAGAGGGAGGGCCAGCAGATGTCAGTATGAACTCAGGAATAGAAACATGAGGCCTTTCAAATCAGTACTGCATATCTTCACCCCCAGTGTTCCCAAGTGCCAGATTTAATGCTGCCGCCTCTTCCGGGCAGAGGCGGGCAGGGGAAGCGGAATCACCTGCTTCGCACTTCTTTTTAAAAAAAAAAAAAAAAAAAGGAAAGATAGTTGACTACATTGAAAATGTCGTTTGGCTTTAAAAGTTCATAACCTGTTTGGGTCAGGGGGTTCGATAGCCATTGCACTGTAGACTGGGAGCTCCACGTTCAGGGATAAAGGACTCAGGTTCTCAGGACAATGGACCAGCGAGTGCTGGGTACATCGGGTTTGGGGTGATGTATTCAGCTTTGGAGGGAGAGGCGGCCTTGCTGCCCTCTTCCCCACCTGGCTTGGGAAGTCACCTATTATTTTGCAAAGGCAGGTGCTCCTCCTGGCCAGACTTCACCTTGCCTAGCAGCAGCTGAAAGGAGGAAACTTATAAATACATTTTAAATGAAAAAATATATATTCCAATGTGCCAAATATTTAAACTTGTGAAGTTTAAATGGTTGAAATCTCAACGTCCACCTGTATTAATTAATCAAGAGCATGTTAACGTTTAAACCATTTTTGCTTTGTTTAGCCATAGAGAATATGTAGGAAAGGAACTTTTTAATCGGACAACCAGCTGCCATCCAGCTTTCCGGGGAGGCCTCGTCGGGGCAGAGCGGGGGTAGCGAGTGCCAGCCACGCAGCTCCTCCAAGCGTGAACTGAGCCTTGCAAAATCTGCAAGCCCCAAGCTTGCCCTACTCCACGAGGAAAGTGAGTCCCCACCCTGCCCCTTCAGAGGCAAGCAGGATTTTGCAAGGCCAAACTAAATGGGAGATTTCTGCGGCGACCATATCCCTGCTCTAGCTGGAGAGAGTCAACTCCCGATAGCACTGCCTGGGTGGAGAGAAAGGAAAGCCCCTTTCTAGAAGCATTAACTGCAGTGGCCGATTGCTGCTGCCTTCACCTATCGGACAGGTTAACCTGCTGCTTGGTTGTTCCTTGTTTTTATTTATTCCATAATTATGTTTTTGTTTTTATTTTATTTTTTTAAGTAAATCTTTTCTTTTCCTTTTTTTTTTTTGTCTTATGGATCCTGGTGGGTTTTTAAAGGAAAATTAGATGTCTTCTTTGGTTTGAAATATTTTTAATCAGATTGTTTAAAAGCAAAAAAAACCTGTTCCATTTTAGAGTGTTTTAAAGAGAAAGTATTTACCCATAGAAAGCTGTAATTTCACTTTTCATGAGGCATGTTCTTTTGACTTGATTCGAGTTGATTCAGCAGGGATTAGTAAGGATGTATACACATTGAAACAATGAAATGGTTAGCTTGCGCTATCTGTCCACTGAAAGCGAGATTGAAAAGCGTGTGTGTATATGTACATAAAAAATGTAAAGTAGTCTTTAAATACTTCATTGTGCAGTGCCTTTAGACGTTCCACTTTCTATAAAGTCTTCAAAAAAAAAAGTTTGCATATATATATATATATTATATATATATGATGTAATGTTATAGAAATATATGTATAATATACATATTTTTTCCAGGGGTATCTGATAGCTCTGTATTTTGTTATGGAAGTTGAAAGAAAAAAAAAGTATTTTACCTCAAATTAAAAAGTTAAATAAACCTTTTAAATAAGCCTACACACTTGTGGCTTGCTTTGTCCAGCTCCGCATGCCATGTGCTACTGTAGAGTCCTCCTGGTTGCAGCGCCTCTGTGGGGAATACGGGCCTGGGTTCTCCAGGTTGAAAGTGGGGGAGTGCTTTTGCCATAAGATCCTGTCCTGCACTCTCTCCCTCCCCTGAACCTGTCCCTGGCCGGTTTGCATGCTGTGGTCACGGGTGCTCTCAAGGTTGGGATCTTTCCTGCGTCAGGGCTGGCAAAATGAGTGCAGGGGGAGGAGGGATGGGGGTGTTTAAAAGCAACTAGAGCCGTGATGGACAGATGGCAGGATGAATCCAGCTAGCCTTCATGGAAGACTGTTGCTGGGAGAAGTCTCAGCTCTGTTGACAGGAGAGATGTGGGACTCCAATCCCTCTACCTCTGGGACCTGATGGTTAGAAAGGCCTCCATTAAGACTTCAGCGGTTCCCAATCTGTGGTACGGGTACCACCAGTGGCATGCAGTCACCCTGTAAGTGGTACACATTAACAGATGTATTGTAAGACAAAAATTTGCTGGTGGTATTTCAGGTTGTATCATTTTAAATTGGTGGTGTGCAATCTGTCAGAGTCTCGGGACTGCCAGACTAGATGATATCACTACTGGGAATTGGCCGGGGTGTGGGAAGCTTTGTCCATGCAGCTTGTCCGAGAGGGCTGTGATGTGTCCCTGGAAGATGGAGGTGGTGGTTCAGACTTGGCACTCCTGGTAGCTGGTTTGTTATGCTTTCCATGAGCATCAGCTTCTGGCTCTTCTGCCCAGTATCCATGCCTCAAGAGTGCTTCGACTTCAGGCTCCTAATGGATTTTAAACAGACACACATCCAGTTTGAAAACAGCCCAGCTGTTCATGACAGATGCCGTCCCTGCAACACGCAAGGAGCCCTGGGCAGCTGATCTGGGACTCGTGGTACCCGTGCAGACTGGGATGCTGGTCCCAACCCCCGAGGGCTTGTGGTGCAGGGAGGAGATGAGACAGCAGCTCTGTACGAGCAGACAGGAATGCAGGGAGACAGCAAGGCTGTGCCAGTTGCTTTGCTTTGGCAGCAGTTGGCACACGGCCGCCTATCCAGCATCAAGTGGGTGTACGCTAAACTGGCCCAAATCCAGGCCCTTAAACAAGCTTGCCTTGCTCACGTAGCAGAGGCTTTATGCCAAAGGTATTTTTCTACCACTTCCTCCGTGGAAAGGGGCCTGGAAGTAAGGCTCTGGGGGCAGGGAGGTGTACGGCAGCCCCAGCCTGGCTGAGAATCAAGCCCAGCAACTTGTTCTCAGGCACGGGGGAGATCTGTGTCAGAAGCAGCTTAGACTCTGGGTGTTCCTGGCTCCCGGCCTGGGCTGACACCACAGAGCTGCGCCTCCCTGGGCTCGCGTTTTCCTGCCTTTCTGCAATTTGCTCAAAGATGGCTCCAGGATGGAGGGAGCAGCGATGCCCAAATTCCAGCTACCTGGCAGACGTGTCCTCTCTACACCGCGCTCTGCCACGTAGCTGTGGTTTGTGTGCAGGGCTCAGAGCTGCTTGGCACTGGCTTCCAGGCCCAATTCATGTATGGACTGTACGTTAATTAAATGGCCGTTAATGCCGAGGACACGCACAGCCGGCTGCAAAGCGCTGTGAGCAGGCATTCTGTTGCCTAGCTAATCCGCCCATGTTTTTACTAATTAATTAGCATTGGTAACCTTAAGAACGTTGGCTGTCCTGTCAGATGGAAATGAAACGCATGCTTGAAGAGCTCCTGGTAATAGCATTAGGCTGCCTGTGAATCGGGGTTCCTAACGAGAGAGGAGCAGTAAACCCTGCCCAAAGCTGTTGGCGGTCCCGGGAGATGGAGGGTCTGAGTCCTTGTTCTCAGTGCCTGGTAGATGACAGAACAGGGAGCAATGGGCTCCAGTTGCAGCAAAGGAAGTTGAGGAAAAACTTAGGGTAGTATGTTGTTCTGGAACAGATGTGGGAGATCAGGGAGAAAGGGAGCAAGACTATGCAGCTGATATGGGGGAACTGAGAGCAGAGCAGGTAATAAGATGAGAAAGGAACTGAAAGCAGAGCAGCAGTTTAGACTATAGTGATAGATGACAGAACAAGGAGCAATGGGCTCAAGTTGCAGCAAGGGAGGTTTAGGTTGGATATTCGGAAAAGCTTTCTCACTAGGAGGGTGTTGAAGCACTGGAACAGATTACCCAGAGAGATGGCATCTCCATCCTTGAAGGTTTTTAAGACCCGCCTAGACAAAGCCTTGGCTGGGTTGATGTAGTTGAGCCTGGTCCTGCTTTGAGCAGGGGGTTGGACTAGATGTGACCTCCTGAGGTCCCTTCCAGCCCTCCTTGTCTGTTATTCTCTGTTGTTCTGGATTCCAAGATCTCGGGTAGGGGCAGAAAGAACGACAATACCCCTGCCACATCTAAAGGGGGGAATAGGTGGAAGCACCCCGTTGCTGCTTCGAACCCAGAGAGAGGAAGACACACGTGCCCTTTGGAAGGCACGATGGCATTTCCCCATTGGGTGTGCACAGGCCCAGATCCCGGGAAGCAGGGGAGCTGCGTGATCTGAGAGAGCCTTGTTTGTGCTGGGGACTCTGGGACAAGGCTCCGGTTGCAGCCACAGGCACGTGAGCGATGCTGCAGCTCCTGATCTAGCCTGGGACACGCTGGCTGTCCTTGGTGCTTTGCAGTTTTCACAACCAGGCCTACAGCAAATGCATCCCCTTCCCCTAGCACATCCCTCCCTGTCAGCTCCTTTCTTGTGAATCAGCAGCTGGGCTGAATCTCCCCCAGGTCTGGCAGGCACTTGGCGCTGCATGGAGACCTTCTCCTTTGGAGCCAGACACCGGTTCTGTCCCACATTGTCCTCTCTGGCAGGCTTGGCCCAGGAAGCAGAAAGGCCTTGCGGGTGCATCTGTCATATTTTGAACAGAGCCAAGCCCTGGGTTTCCTTTCTGCACAGACTGGGGAAATCGGGACCTAAATGAAAATGAAACCAGCTCACTTTCTAAACGTTTCCAGCAGGGTGGGGGGGAAGGTGCAGGCCCCGGGTATTTTCCAGCCGCTGTTGTGAGCCTCAAGGTGACCACAAAGCTGCTTAAGAGCCTCTTTCCCAGCCTCCGAGCTCAGCCAAGCAGTGTCATGGTGTTTAAAGCCAGCAAAGATTTTTCCAGCCAGGTGCTCTCCCCTCCTTTCCAAATATTAGCACAGCCAAGAGCCAGGAGTTCAAAGCGGAGGGCATGAGCCAGCTCTCTTACTCCTGCAGCTGTTCTGGGGGCTTACGGGATCCAGCTGCTTCGACTCAAACCTGGGCAGGGTGGGGTAGAGGGAGCCTTGGGGAGGGGAGCCAGGATGCCTGGGTTCTTGCCTTAGCTCTAAGCAGGGAGTGCGGCTTAGTCAAATGTGAGGTCCAGCACCCGGCTGTCACCCCTGGGTTGCAGACGGAAGTCGAGCAGGGGCTTCAGGATGCCTGGGTTCAATTCCCCATCTGCAGGAGAGGCTGGAGGAGCATGTCAAGGATACCACCCCCCCACACCCACACACCCCCCTGCACCCCCTCCTGTCCCTTCCCGCTCCATCTCGCTCTGTCAAAGCCAGCATGTTATTGCAAAGCAGCGCAGCAGCAGTTAGCACCCTCTGCTTGGCAGTGGAGGGCATGGGGGGGGAGGGATGGTGCTATTGATCTGTTAGATTACTCAATTTCACCCGTATTGATCAGGTAATTGCTTTATCTCGGCTCTCATTTGGAAACTGCATTACTTGCTCTCTTTCTCTCACCCCCCCCCCCCC